CGCGCGTCTCGGGGGAGCGCGGAGCAGGAACCGCCGGAGGGGGCGGCGGGACGCGGCGCGGGGCTCGCAGGGCCGGGTCTGGGGCCGGAGGGGCCGGAGGGGCCAAGTTTCCCGGGGGGAGAAGGGTGGGTCGGGAGCGGGGGTCTGGCTCGGAGCTTCCGGATCGGTGCCCGGGAGCCCGGCCCTCCCCGAAGCGGGGAGACGGACGCCGGCGTCGTGATAGGAAAATGGAGATTACCGGCTTGGGTGTTCGGACGGTTTGTGTGTGTTCTCTCTTGCTTCGCTAGCGTATTATTTTTTTTTTTGTCTTTTTGAGACAGGGTCTCGCTGTGCAGTTCAGGCTGGCCTTGAGCTCACTTTGTAGCCCAGGCTGGTCTCGAACCCCCAGCGATTCTGCTGCCTCAGCCTCCCAAGTGCTGGGATTACAGGCGTGCGCCACCACGCCCGGCAGTGTTTCCATAAGGTTTTTACCTTTGTGACATTTCACTGGGAAAGTTTTGCAGAGGATTTTGGAAGCGCTGCGAAGATGCGCTTATATACTAATTAACTTGTATTCAAGTCAAGTTACTGAAGGGGAAGTCACTAGATAGTCTCTTTCTCAAAGTCCTTGTAAGAGTAGTAGCTCAGACAAAGTCCCTAATAAATGGAAAAATGGATTCCTTAAAGGTTGAAAAATTCAGGACATGCCCAAATGTCTGCCGCTGTTTTCCTTTTTTTGCCCTTGTAATTTCGGCAACGGGGCATTAATTAGTTTTCCATGACTAGTACAAACATTTTTTGGGTATTCACTAGGTTTTTGTGAAGCTTGGGGGTGTGCTGGTAAATACATATTTACATTTTAGTGGAAGAAGTGGTAATTCATAAGTAAATACAGGAAAAGTGTCTGGGGTAAGTAAGTACTGTGCTGAACATTGAAATGGTGTGATAGGAATGTCCCAGAGGTTACTTCTTGGTTGAGTAGTAAGGCAAACAGAAGTAGCCAGAGGTTGGTACCTAGGAGATATTCTGAGTCATGCTTTCGCTTCATAAATGAGGCAAAGCGAGAAAGTAAAGTGACCTGTGTGGCACAAGTTTGGTTCTGAAATGAAGCTAATAGTCCAGTTTGTTTAAAGTGTTGCACCTTTAGTATGTGCTTAAGAAGCATGTCCTGCTCTTACTATGCTAAATACAGGTCTTTGAGGCATTTAAAGTGTAAAGTGTGTAGATCTATCTTGTCTGCTTCAGATTTCTGGCATTTATTTTTATTTTTTGGGCGTTGCTGGGAATTGAATCCAGGGCCTTTCTCATGCTACAAAAGTGCTCCACCATTAAGCTGCACCTCCCAACCAGATTTCTTCTTTTTCTGTTTGTTTTTTGATTTATGTTTGTTTTTTGGTACCGGGAATTGAACTCAGGACCTTGCGCTTGCCAGGCAGGCACGGTGCTGCTGAGCGATATCCCCCGCCCTTGTTTTTTTTTTTTTTTTTTTTTGAGACAAGGTCTCACTATGTAATGCAGGCTGGCCTTGAACTTGCTTATATAGTCCAGACTGGCCTAGAACTACAGCAATCCTCCTGCCTCAGCCTCCTGAGGATTGCAGGGATTACAGGTGTGCCCCCAACCAGATTTCTGATTCTGTGTAGTTCTTTATAAGTATAGAAAGTATTCCCTTGGCAAAATATATAATATTAGGGAACTATCTTAATATTTCACTCTACATCCCATGCTTTCAAAACATTGTATAAAAGGGTACTTTGGTAAAATGAGAATTGTTTCAGTGGAATTTAATATGTAGTGGATGGACTTCATTTGTCTGTTTACTCTGTATCTTACAAGCACTGCTTAATTCATCTGTGCCATACTCTATTGAGACCCTGCAGTTACCTAGATCCTACTGTACTGTGGAGTTGGTATTCTAAGTATCTGGACATATGGCTAACAATACTTGTGACAGTCCTTTCTGTGAGTGTGCTATTCCTGAAATACACAAGTGAGTATAAAAGGCTTCCCAGAGGAGTTAATCCCTGAATAAAGGCCACCCAAGACAAATTTCAGCCTCATGTAGTTAAAAGATCGAGTACTTAGAAGCTATAGAAACCTGCTTTTGAATTTTGGCTATTCAGAGTATCAGCTCTGTGGTATTAAGAATGCCACTCAATAATTGAGTTAGTTTTCTCACATATGAAATGGTGAAGATAAACTTCCCTTTGTGCGTTTTGGATATAGATTTGTTTTCAATATTAAGGGATAAGCTGGGTGTGGTGGTGCACGCCTGTAATCTGAGCACTTCGGAGGCTGAGACAGGAGGATCATTTCGAGTTCGAGGCCAGCTTGAGCTACAAAGTGAGCTCAAGGCCAGCCTGAACTGCATGGCGAGACCCTGTCTTTAAAAAAAAAAAAGACAAAAAAATATTAAGGGATAATGTGGTTAAACGTCTCACACAATGCCTGGTACATAGTATGTATGCAGTAGTTGAGAAGAAGTGTTAACAGGAGGAGAGAACATTCCATGACTAAGGAAATAATAAGTAAATTACAATGAAATGAGAAACGCCCTAATAACTCACTTTGGAGTGTTTGACTGTAACCCAAAAGCTGACTCAAATTGGTTTATATGAAGGTTTGACGGAGTAGCTGATGCTTGCATGAACACCATTGAAAACAAGTTTCAGCTTTATGTAGTTTAAGATCAAGTACATGAAATAGTTTTTTGGGGAGGGAGGCGCAGGGAATTGAACTCAGGACCTCATGGTTGCCAGTCAGGCACTGCGCCACTGAAGTAAATCCCTGGCCCCATGAAATAGTTTAAAGTGAGACTTCAATCCAGTATCTTAATGATACTGGTTAGCTTCCTCTCAACCAAAGATGGTTGCTCCCAGCACCTGCAGTCACATACTGCCTGAAATTGTATCCTTGGTCCAGTATTTTGACAAATTCTGCAATTCAGTCTGACCGGGTTAGCTACTTTGAACCAGTACCTTGACTGGACACCTGTTTTCCCTGACTTTCTTTGGAACAAGGATCTCCATATAGAGTTTCCAAATCAGAAATCTCAGATTCCTGGTAAGGAATGAATGACTGCTAGAATTATAGGCATCAGATGTGTATTGCAGGATATGGAAGGGTTAGCAGCTCTTGCAGATTTTTTATTTGAAAAGCAAAAATGCCAGAAAATAATTTAGAAAGAACAGTTATTGAGTTAATAATAATCAGTGCTATGTAGATGACATAGTATAATTGAAAGAAAAATTTTGAAGTCAGAATTTGACAGTGACTAGTTTCATGACTTAGGGCAAAGTATTATAGAAGGATGCTGTGTGGGATGGCTTGGATCTATTCCTTGGCTTTGGTTTTTACATTTGTAATAAGGTAATAATGCATAGCTCAGGGTTGTTAAGAGGATCACATGGTTCAGGTACTGTATTTACTAAACGTATATCATGTTTGAGAATGGGGCTGACTGATGGAAGAACAAATTATGAAGTACGGCTTGTTAACTAGAGCTGCTTTATTTAGAAAATAACTGATCACACAGTAAGTCGTATCTACTGTTGTGGATTTTAAAATGCAGGGTAGTCACAAGTCTTTTAGCATTCATGTAGCAAAATCTTTAAATAAATTAAGCCAATATCTTACTGTTAATATTACTAGATTCAGAGCTAATCTGTTCTCTTTTTTTTCCAGTAGAGTGTCCTGTATGCTAAGTGATGCTCATTCAGAGCATATGACTGAAGTCAGATTGTGAAACTTTAATGTGGATTTTAGATTTAGGTGCAGTTTCTTATTGAAACAGAAAGGACATGTCCTAACTTACTAGTTTATAGTTATCTTTCCGATTCTCTTTATAGAATACTTTATGAATGGACAGTCCAATAATTTAGATTATAGGCAGCAATAAAAAATTGTCTTCACGATGCTAGGAGCGTAGCTCACTAGTAGAGTGCTTGTCTAGGCATGCATGAGGCCCTGGGTTCAATCCCTAGCACCTCAAAAAAAATTGCCTCGATGTTAAATAATTTAGTTGATTGAAAGATTCTTTCAGTCAACTTGTAGTTGATTGAAAGTCCCATCTCAAAGTAAAATTTTACAGGAGGCTGAAGATGGAGCTCCAGGGTGAGAAGTTTCCCTCCTGTGCACAAGGTCCTAAGTTCAGTTTCCAGGATCTCCACAGACAGAAACTATTCCTTTTGTGGAGAGTGTAAACATTAGTGCCTTTTTAAAAAAATGATTTGTAAGTTTTTCACTGAAGGATTGGATAGAATGAGAAATGACATTTGTATAAATTTGCCATTCTTTTTTTTTTTTTTTTTTT